CTTCCTTTTCCGTAAAATGGAATCGTGTTGATATGTTTTGTACGTGGTCGCAAGGTTTGGAGGGACCGGCGTGGTAACCGCTCAGTATAGGACAGCTACTGCTACTAAGAAAAGAAGCAGCAGACAGCTCAGCACAGGGGGCCATCCCTGGCCAGGAGATGCCCCGGTGACACGGGTGCCTTTCTGCTCAGGTGCGTCCACTTACGATACACCTACCTGGCCGAACCGAAACTTAACCAAGGCTCTTGTTTCTCGGACAGAGCCCGGAGGCTCATTCTCTTGGATCCTCGTGCTGTTATTTTCCTTCATTCTCTCAAAGCCTCAGTGATAAGCCAGGCCTCCCAGCTGCCTGGGCACTGTGGTCAGAAGATGACAGGAGAGGAACGCACCATGTGTCTGGTCCATCAGGAAAAATGAATAAGGGGCTCTAAGGACGATGGAGGCCAAGGGGCACACAGCAGGTGGATGAGGGGCTGGGTCTGCCTCAGCCCACTCTGTCCCGTGTGGCTTCTTCCATGGGGGAGGGAGAAGGGCACAAACAGGTGGGTCTGGCACCTTTATAGCCTCTCTCTCTGCTAGATGGGGAAACTGAGGCTCAGAAAGGTAAGGGCCAGCTGGGAACTAGGCCACTGGGATTCGACTCTAAGATGTGCATACTTCCTCTGGCTGTGTTCCAGATGTTCTCAGCTCCTAAACAAGGAACTGTCATAAACATCTGGGGATTCACACCAGGCATGTGCATGTCCTCATGCATGTGACCCATGTGTGTTTATCATAAGGTAATACCCACCCAGAGCTGAATCTTCTTGTAACTTCCAATACCCTCTGTACAGCCAGCACTGGGAGCTTCAGCCGCAGCCAGCGACACCGTTCCTTCAACTCCAGCACCCCCCATGTCCTGAGCACCCACCCCCACTAGGGCAGCACTCAGCATCTGCCACCCTCACACACGGACGCTCATGTAGTCCTCACTGCTGTCAAACGAAAATACATCTCAGGACCCCAAACTCACTAAGCCAAAGGGAAAAGTCAAGCTGAGAACCAGGTCATGCAAACCTGCTAGAGGGAGAACAGGGTCTCCTATAGTACCCAGGATGGAGGGCAGTGGCACGATCTAGGCTCATCGCAGCCCCCGCCTCCCGGGTTCAAGCACAAGGAGACCCTGGGAGGAAGAAGAGAGACCATGGATGGCAGCTTCAGAATGCCCACTGCCCTTTGCAGTTGGCACCTCCTGGACCCCCACCTATTCTAGGCCTTTACCAAATCTTTTGGAAGCTGAATGGGCTCTGCCCACCAGGGAGCAGTGCCCAGGGGGTCCACTCTACAGCATTTGGAGGCAGTGTGTGCTGGGAAGCGGGGTGGGTTTAGGGTCAGACAGTCCTGGCTTTGCCACCTTTAATTTTTTTTTTTTAAGACAGAGTCTCACCCTGTTGTGCAGTGGTGCAATCTTGCCCCAGTGTAACCTCTACCTTTCAGGCTTAAGCGACTCTTGTGCCTCAGCCTCCCAAGTAGCTGGGATTACAGGCGTGTGCCACCACTCCCATCTAATTTTTTTTTATTTTTTGTAGAGACAGGGTTTCCCCATGTTGGACAGGCTGGTCTCAAATTTCTGGCCTCTAGTGATCTGCCCATCTTGGCCTCTCAAAATGCTGGGTTACAGGCATGAGCCACTGCGCCCAGGCTTGCCATCTTTAATTTATGTGACACTCGAGTAGGGTTTTTGCCTCTTGGTTATTGGTTTTTTTTTTTTTTTTAGACAGAATCTTGCTCTGTTGCCCAGGCTAGAGTGTAGTAGCCTGATCCTGGCTCACCGCAACCTCCACCTCCCGGGTTCAAGTGACTCTCCTGCCTCAGCCTCCTGAGTAGCTGGGATTACAGGTGCACATCACCATGCCCAACTAATTCATTTTTGTATTTTTAGTACAGATGGGGTTTCACCATGTTAGCCTGGCTGGTCTCGAACTCCTGACCTCAGGTGATCCACCCACCTCGGCCTCCCAAAGCGCTGGGATTATAGGCATGCGTCACTGCACCCAGCCTGTTTTTGCCTCTGGAAGCCTCAATTTACTCATTTTTAAGTGGGCATAGTAATTTCACTTTCAGTGAGGATTAGAAATCAGGGACACAAAGGGCCTGGCACATAATAGCTGGGGGCATGGTGCCTCCCTGGTCCCTGCCACAAGCATCACAGAAAGCCTTTGATAGTTGTTTTTGTTTGAGCCAGGGTCTTGCTCTGTCACTCGGGCTGTTGTGCAGAGGTATAATCATGACTCACTGCAGCCTCAACCTCGATCCTCTGGGCTCAAGCTATCCTCTGCCTCCTGAGTAGCTGCGACTACAGTTGTGCACCACCATACCCAGCTAGTTGTATTTCTGTGGAGACGGGAGGTTCTCACTTTGTTGCCAAAGCTGGTCTCGAACTTCTGGCCTCAAGTGATCCTCCGGCCTTGTGCTGAGATTACAGGTGTGAGCCATCACAACTGGCCCCCTTGACAGGTTTTAATATTCATCTCAGGTCAACTGAATTTTTCTTGAATGTAGTCAACGTATTTTGCAAGAAAAGTACTTTTCAGACTCAGAATGAAAGTCACATGCAGTGTTTATAAGCAGAGCTCTGGAATAGGCACACACACTTCTGCAATCTACTCTGCCTCAATGACCTAGGGGTCTTTCTAACCCCTGGGATCTCTGACTTTGGGGACAGGGAGAATTGCTTAGCAAAGGTATGGAGGTATGCATATGTGAGGTGGAGGTGAGGGAGCATGGCCCTCCCACCTAAATGGTTCGGGGAAGAGGGTGATGGCTGCCCAGGAGAAGGAAGGGAGGCACTGCCTGGGACTATGTTAAGAACAGATAAGAAGTGACAGGAGGAGCTGGAACCGGGACCCAGGGGAGAGAGGAGGGTCCCGGGGTCAGGCTGCTTGGGTCAAGTCCTGGCTTCCCTACTTACTAGCTGTGTGGCTTGAGGTGGGTTACTTAACTTCTTGCAGCCTCAGTTTCCTCTTCTGTAAAATGGGAATAACAATATTACCTACCTCCCAAGGCTATTAAGTGAGTTGTACATAGGAAGTGTGATGGAAATATTAGCCATTGTGATATGAGATGTTCAGGGGATAGAATGACAGGGCTCACTGTCTGGCTGAAGGAGGAGAAGAGAAGGATTTCAGCCGGGAGCGGTGGCTCACGCCTGTCATCCCAGCACTTTGGGAGGACATGGCAGACGGATCACTTGAGATCAGGAGTTCAAGACCAGGCTGACCAATATGGAGAAACCCTGTCTCTACTAAAAATACAAAATTAGCCGGGCGTGGTGGCACGTGCCTGTAATCCCAGCTACTTGGGAGGCTGAGGCAGGAGAATTGCTTGAACCCAGGAAGCGGAGGTTGCAATGAGTCGAGATCGCGCCATTGCATTCCAGCCTGGGCAATAAGAGGGAAACTCCGTCTCAAAAAAAAAGAAGGATCCTGAGGCACCTGTGAAATGGGCAGTGCCTTCCTCTCTGCCCAATCCTGACTAGCTCTCCGCCCACCTCTCCAGGGCCAGAGGAAGCACTTGTGACCTTGAGCATTACTCCTCCATGCTGGGTAGCCAGGGCTAGCCAGGGCATGCTGGGAGAGGTCCTAGACTAGCTCCAGCCTCTGTCATTTCCTCCACACCCATTCTCAGAGGAGTTGGACGTGCCTCGAATGATGTCGGATGATTTTCTTTTTCCTCTTTTCCCCAACCTCTTCATCTCCTGCCTCCCCCTTGTGGCCCTGGGGGAGGTGCCTGACATTTATTGCTGTTCTCTGGCTGCTGGGGCTCAGGCAGAAAGTGACACTTGCAAGGAAATGTCCCTGACACTGCTATGGGCAGCATTCTAGGGCCACTGATGCTCCATCTGGGATGGGGAAGGCGGGGGCAACCGCTCCTGTCCCTGACACAGCAATGAGAGCAAAGGCCCCACCTACTCTGACAGCATTCCTCAACCCTCCTGTTTAACCCAGACCCTGCCACAGGGGCGATTGGGGGTGGTGGACAGGGCCCAACAAGGAGCACTAAGAGGGCGCATGCATGGGGGTCTGGCATGAGCATCGAGCGTTTGGTGGAGTGGAGATTCTGCATTCACTTTTGTTTGCTTGCTTTGGCTTTGAAGCAAATAATTTGCCTCATTAATTGAGAGCCAGGCCCTGGGGTCAGGCAGACTTCAGTTCAAATTCTCCCTCCTGTCAACATCCCCATGGGGTGGTCCTATCATAATGCCCATGTGTAGATGAGGCCGCGGAGGCTTAGAGAGGTTGAGTGACACCCCCAAGGTCCCACAGCCCGACAGTGGGCATGGGACACAGGATTGTTAAATGAGTGAATAGAAACTACCACGAATGGGCCCAACAGCGTGCTGAGTACTCAGCCAACATTTGCACATTTTTTCACGTTGAATTCCTATAACCACCCCCTGACATGAGTATTATCCTCATTTCACAGATAAGGAAACTGAGGCTTAGTTGCCCAGGGCCTCCCTGCTAGCCAGCAGCAGGGCCAGGCTTCCTGCTTCAGTCTCTGCCATGCTAGAGCCCCGTTTCACCACCCCCACCCACGCTATTATGCACCCACTGAGGGAGGGTTGGCTAAGAGGCGTGGGGTAACAAACTGTGCTGTGAACCAGGAGGCCCAGGGCCTAGCCTGACTTCAGGTACACTTGCCGTGTGACCTTGAGCAAGTCACAGACTCTCTCTAAACTTCTGTTGCCTCGAAGACAGGAAGGCGGACAGCCTGATTTGCCCCATAATAATTTATCTGTGGTGTGGTCCTGCGGAATTTGCACTTTTACATGGCAAAGAGCCCACTGCCGTGAGTCTGGCACTTCCCAGGGCTGCTGGGGTCTTATCTTTCCAGCTGCTCCTCTGGCAATGGCTGCAGAGGCTGGAGCCTGAGCCAAACACATGCTCCTGCGTCAGCAGAACTTGCTCATCCAGCATCTCCTGACCTGCCCCCCAAACCCCAGAAGGTCCCCCTCTCACCTGCAGACGTCAAGCTGAGTCACGATGCCCAGCACACACACGGCATGAGTGGGCTGCTCTGGGGACACACGGATCAATGTCCTCTGGGCCATTGTCTGGCTAGCTCTTCCCTCTGGCTGTAGGAAGCCCCTGGTCTGGTTCCTTTATACCGCCCATCAGAGGCCATGAGTCAGCACCCGCGGTCTGTGGCCCAGAGGCTCAACCCCTCCCCTCTCAGCTCGGGGACGTGGGCTCTCAAAATCACCTCTGCCCTGGGGCTGCCCCTTGGACCTCCAGATATACTGGTACAGTGGCAGGCTGGCTTTGTCCGTTTCCTGGGAAGGATGGATGGCTCAGAAAGGCTGGGGTGGAGAGTGGGGCTGAGGGGCTGGGTCCCAGTCCTTGAGCCCATAGCCCCATCCTTGCCTGGAGACCCTGAACACTCACCTATGTCAAACAGGGGAATCAGAGAGAAGGGGAGAAAAGCAGGGAGATCTTAGGTAAGAGGTCACAGGCCAGGCTACATGTTCAAAGACCAGCCAGTCTTGGGACAGGTCCCTCCACCTGGGCCACCCACATGACAGGTCACCTTCTTGGTGTTTTTTTTATACCAGGCAGGTTTTCCTGCACTTCACATGGAATAGCTCATTACGACAAACCTGTGAACTAGTTAGTACCATTATCTTCTTATTCTACCCTCACAGCAGCCCTCTGATGTTGGTGCCATTGTTATACCCATTTTACAGAGGAGGAAATGGAGGTGCAGAGCGCTTACACAGCGCGAGAGTGGTAGAGCCAGCACTGGAACCAAAGGTGTCCAGTTCCAGAATGTGAGATTCATTAGCCGCCTGTCTACATGACACACGCTTTTCAGACTGTATCACAGCAACATCTCACTACATTACAGGGTATGTATGGTTTATTATTGCAACCCATTTTACAGAGGGAAAACTGAGGCTCAGAGAGTAAGAGTGACTAGTTCTTGCCCAAGGTGCCAGAGCTAGCATGTCGCAGAGCTGAGAGAAGATGAGCTTCCTGGCGTGGAAGCTGATGTTCTCTGCATTCTCCAGGATACCTGCCTACTGCCAGGGTCTCTGGGCGTCAGATCACATAGTGCGGGTGTGAGCCACCCTGCCAGGGGGACGCCCATGTGGCCACAGAGCTATGGTTGCACCTGGACCGTTGGTGCCAGGCTCTGCCTGCGAATGGGGCGATTGGGGGGATGGTGGACAGGTCCCAACAAGGAGCACTAAGATTGCACATGCATGGGGGTCTGGCATGAGCATCGAGCGTTTGGTGGGTTGGAGATTCTGCATTCACTTTTGTTTGCTTGCTTTGGCTTTGAAGCAAATAATTTGCCTCATTAATTGAGAGCCAGGCCCTGGGGTCAGGCAGACTTCAGTTCAAATTCTCCCTCCTGTCAACATCCCCATGGGGTGGTCCTATCATAATGCCCATGTGTAGATGAGGCCGCGGAGACTCAGAGAGGTTGAGTGAGACCCCCAAGGTCCCACAGCCCGACAGTGGGGATCTGGGTCCAGATCACCTTCTCTAGGCTCAAAGCTTATCTTCTGTACCAGCAAATGATGGCCAGGTCTGATGTTCTGACGTAGCTACGTGAGTGCCTGCGCACAGTAGGCCTTCAGAAGCCCAATTTCTCTGGCTGACCACATGATTAGAACTAGTTTGAGTTTCTACTGGAAAGTGGCAGGAGGGAACTCTCCCTTATTAGAGTTGGGAGGGCCTTAGAGAACACCCAATCCAGTCCTCATTCTGCAGATGGGGAGACTGAGGCACAGAAAGGGGGTGTGACCTGCCCACAGTCACACAGCGAATCAGTGGGAGTCTGGGCTCTACCCCGAGTCTTAGGTCTCTTGAGGCTGTTTTCTTTTGTTCCTTCTTTTGTTTTCTATTTTCCTCAGCAGTGTGGGGTTTAAATTTGCTGTGAATAAGCCACAAAGAGGACAAGCCCCAAAGCAGTTTTGTTAATTCAGCAAATACTTACCGGATGCCTACTGATGGCCAGGCACTGTTCCAGGCACTGCGGATATGCGGTGAACAAAATGGACAAAAATCCTGCCTTCATGAAGCCTTTTCTTTTACTTTTAGTTGGGAGAGCGACAGCCAGTAAGCAATACATGCAGTAAGTGAATTCTGTCGTATGTTAGTGGGGTAGAAAAAGGAAAAGGGACAGAATAAGGGCCACCAGGAACACAGGGCCAGGGGCCAATTGCAATTTCAAATAGGGTGGCCAGAGAAGGTGACATTTGAGCAAAGGCTTGAGTGACAATGTGGAAAACGAGGGAGAATGTTCCAGGTCAATAGAACAATCAGTGCCATCAGTGCAAAGGCCCTGAGGCAGGGATGTGGCTGGAAGGTTTCAGAAAGAACGAAAAGGCCAGTGTGGCTGAAATGCAATGAAGGGTGAGGAGAGCAGCCTGGGGTAGGGGTGCGATCATATAGGGCCTTTGGGGCACCCTAAGAACTTTGACTTCTGCTCCAAGTAACATGGGGAGGCTGTGGTCATTTTGAGCAGAGGAGGATTGTGAACTGACTTGCTTAAATGTGATCACACTGGCTGTGATGTGAGAACACACTGCAGGGGACCAGGGAGGGGGCCGGGAGACCTGTGAGGTGGCCGCTGCAGACAGGCTGATGACAGATGATGGGGCTCAGGTCAGCGTGGTGGCGGTGGAGGAGGGAGGATGGTTCAGATTCTGGACATTCTGTGACGCAATGCAGCCGACAGGATTTGCAGATGGACTGGATGAGGGGTGTTAAGAAAGAGAGAGGAATCGAGGAGGATGGCGGAGTTTGGAGCCTGAACCCCTGGAGGGATGGTGGTGCCCATAGCTGGGCAGGAAAGGCTGAGGAAGGGTCGGGGGATAGGCACAGTGGAGATCAGGAGTTTCGTCCTGGCTGAGCCAAGTGTCATTTGCCGTGATGTTGTCCTGTAGGGCCTTTGAACACACGATTCCGGAGCTTAAGAAACAGGACCAGGCGGGAAAGGATAAAACTGTGAGATGTCAACATCTCCAGCTCCTCTGCGGAATGAGTGTGGATGGAGAAGAGAGAGGCCAAGGGATGAGCCCCCGGGCCTCCACCAGAGACCCAGGGGAGCGATGAGCAAGGGGAGACGCAATGGAGAGCACGTGTTATTTGCAATTTCACAGGGAGCAATACAAAACCAGGTTTGTAACACAGACGCACACTCACACTCACACCCAGGGAAAGCAGCTGCACTTCGGAAGCAAAGCCTCTTTGTAGAAACACACTTGGTCACTCACAGCAGAACAAGGGCCATGGGCGCTGTGCTGGGCAGGGCTGAGGGCAGAGGCCGAGGGCAGTGGAATGAGAGGCCTGCAGACCTGGGGCTGGCGCGTGCCCCACCTGCGCCCGCAGCTCCGGCCGCATCCCGACACAGCTGCTCCCCTACTGTTGGACACTGGGGGCTGTTTGCAAGTTTTCAGTGTCATAAACCATGCTGTGACGCATCACTTGTGCCCGTGTCTGTGGTTATTTGCAGGGATGTTGGAGATTCATCTTTGCGCCTCTTTACTTTTCTGGCAGAGCGTTTCATTCTTTTCCCGAGATTTGCCACACCTTGTGTCTAAATGCCCATCCCCCAACTAGCCTGAGAGCAAGGCCAGTGCCTAGACTCGTAGTAGGTGGCTTAACACCGCCCCCATTGTGTCCCCAGCACCCAGCCCAGTACTTGACCCAGACAGGGTCCCGTGAAGATCCCTAAGAACTTGGCCTGGCTGTTTCTTTTGCCGATGGCATTAACCCTTTCAGAGCCCAAAGGGGGCTTTTGGGCTTGGGGGAGCAAACTTTCCTACACATGAAGGTGACTGGATCAGAATCTAGGCCACAAACCCCGGAGGAAGAGGCCTTTCTTCCTGCTGAAAGGCAGACTCACCAGCCCAGCTCACGTGGAGGAAGCAAGAGTGTTCTGAGGGTTGCCCAATACCCTCCAGGCATTTGGGGCCCAGATTGCTGGGTACCTGAGCAGCTGTCCCAGAGACTGGCTGGCTAGCGTGTTCCAGGTGATTGCGATGACATCATTCTGGGGAAAGAATCAGGGTCAGGGGACTCTCCCAGTGACTCTGGGTCTGGGTATTATGCAGTGGTGTTCTTTGCAGCAGATGGCCTAGCTCTTGCTTCAGGATTATTCATTCATAAGTACAGTTCATTCATAACGCTGAGCTATTCATTCCACAAATATTCATCAAATGCCTCCTAAGTGTCTGACCCTCTCTTAGATGCTAACTTAGGCTTTGTTTAACATAAATGTAGAAGCACCCAGGGTGATAACAGAGACCACCATCTATTAACACCTGCTACGTGTTTATCTGTCAGCAGGTCCTTGGGCTATATTATTTCTTTTCTTTTCTTTTTTTGAGATGGAGTTTCGCTGTTGTTGCCCAGGCTGGAGTGCAATGGTGCTATCTTGGCTCACTGCAACCTCTGCCTCCCGGGTTCAAGTGATTCTCCTGCCTCAACCTCCCAAGTACCTGGGATTACAGGTGTGTGCCACCACACCCAGCTAATTTTGTATTTTTAGTAGAGACAGAGTTTCTCCATGTTGGTCAGGCTGGTCTTGAACTCCCGACCACAGGTGATCCACCTGCCTTGGCCTCCCAAAGTGCTGGGATTACAGGCGTGAGCCACCACACCCGGCAGGCTATATTATTTCTAATTCTCACCATTAAGTGAGGCAATAAGCAGAATCTCATTTCTACAGAAGAGTGAAACACCAGGTTCAAGGTCACACGGCCTCTAGGAGGGTTTCAAATCTGGCTTCATCCAACATGCTGTGCCCTGGTGTAGCCCTGACCTACGCCAGCCCTAACATGCAGCATCTCTAATCCTCACAGCAACCGTAGCATCTCTCTCCATTTTCCAGATGAGGAAACCGAGTCTCAGAGGAGTTAGGTAACCACTCAAGGTTACGCAGAAGGAAATGGTGACACTTGCATTTAATTTTGCACGGCCTGACTCTCGAGCCCGTGCATCCTTGTCCACCCTGAGGGCTGTGCAGCTGCCCCCAGGCCAGGTCACTCGGCTGATGAGTTCTGAAGTCCCTTCTAGCACAGAGAACCCTGGTCTCTCGGCCTCTCTGAATTCATGACTTC